CCTGCCCCCCGACCCCCAGGGAGAAAGCAGGGTTTGTTTGTATTTAAACCACAGAGAAGCTCTTAGCTGTGACATCGTGTGTCTTTGGCCCATATTTGAAATGGCACCAAGAGCGATCAGAAAGTTACTCCTTTGACACTGGGTTCAGTCTGACTTGAAATGCAGGGTACGTTGGGGGGCGGGGGCGGGGGGAAGGGGCAGCAGCCAGGCGGGGCTCTGCGACTGACAGCAGGGCCCTCCCGGCGGGTCTCATCCAGGCAGACCTAACACGATTAGATTTTCATAAATTTCAGACAGTGCAGCTCCTGCGTCCTCGGTGTGCGGTCAGGAGGCCAGACGGGGCCTCGCACAGGGTTGCTTGTTAGCCAGGAAGGCGAGGCATCCGCCCCCGGGACAGCCCCCGGGGACCATGGGGGGTGTCTGGTCTGCAGCCCCCATTGAGAGGCTGGCTGGAGCCAAGCAGACGTCCCGGCTCTGTAGCCAAGGAGATGGATGGGAGCTCCGCGCCCACAGTGGCTCCAATTATCTACGGAAAGCTCCGTCCGGCTGCTTGCAGCAGGAGCACCCTGCCCGAGGGCGACTTCATATCACCCTCCCCACAGACCCTGGGAAGCAGCCCTCGGGCCTTGAACTGAGGCCACCCCTGCAGCTCCACCAGACACCAAGGGTGGGACGGAGTCGGGTCCTCCCTGTCACCTGTGTCCTCGTGATGGGTGACAGAGACCCTTTCTTCAGGCACCTGTGAGGTCCACCAGAGGGGACACCACCAGTGTCTCTTATGGGCGCCACAAGTTTGAACAGTGGGGATGTGGGTGAAGCGGGGCATGGTGATGCCCGTGTGTAAATCCAGCACGCTGGGAGGCAGAGGCAGGAAGATCAGGAGTTGACGCCTCCCTTCTTTCCACCTGTAGGAGGGAAGGCCTGTTAGATGGTGAGGTCCAGTAGAGCTAGGCCCCAAGCCAAGCCTGCAGGTGGCTGGCACACAGGACCTCTCGTCCTCGTGCAAGCCCAGCTGGGAAGGAGCCGGAGACGAGGTCAAGCCTCTGCAGGCGGCCACTGTGAATCTCAGAGGGCAGTGGGCCGCTGCAGTGAGGCAGACCGATCTATTGAAATGATTCACAGGGAAAGCGACCGCTCAGTCCGATGGGGTGACCACGCTGTGCACACAGAAGATGGGCTCGTCACCCCGAGAGCCTGATGAGTTCATCACCCTCCCTGGGGAAAAAATGTGAATGGCAAGAGCTGCTGAGTGGGCCCCAAGGTGAGCACAAGAGTGACACCTGGACACAGGAGAATTGTGTCCACTGCTGGGACAGCTGCTCACAGGGCCAGGTCCTTGGAGGCCACGAAGGCCTGAGCAGTGCCAGGGGCATCTGCAGGAACATGGGGTGCTTTTGATCCCTGAAAGGGTGCGGGTAACATGACAGCTGTGGAGGGGAGTGCCTGCTTGGTGCTAATGTTCTGGCCTCCACATGGGTCCCCTCGATTTAGATGGGGGATCTTTGGCTCCAAGAGGTGATGTGGGTCCCTCAGCTGTTCAGAGGGTAGGACCAAGGCCTGGCCAACATGCATCGCCAGAGGCAGCCGGGCTGAGGAAGAGGAGCTAATGAATGCTCGGGGGTGCTGGGAAAACTAGCAGGAGGGAGGCCCTGGCTCTGAGCTGTGAGGGAGGCTCAGGCCCAGCACTGCTCTGCTGGCTGCGTGAGCTGAGCTGTCGTCTCCTCACGCCTCAGTTTGCTCATCTACAAAATGAGAACGGTGACAGTATCGGAGTCAGGAGGCTCAGCGTCGCATGCTCCGTGTATGCCGCCACTGTGAGAATCATGACAGTTCTCAGGGAGTCGTCACAGGAGCAGGAGGAGACCCCTCACCACTCCTGGCCCATCCCTGTATGGCAGACCACCTAGAGCCCAATCAGCACAGGAGTTCAGGGCCAGCATCCAGAAGGAGTGCTCTTAGTTACTTTTCTCTTATTGCTGAGACAAAATACCTGACACGCAAAGTTAAAGGGGGAAGGAAAGGTTTATTAACTCAGTCTGTGGGGACTCCAGCCCACAACTGGCTGGCTCCAAGGTGGGGTGGCACATGGCAGAGAGAGGGGCAGCAGTTCATGCCAGTGGAAGACAGCAAAAAGCAAGCTGCACCCCTTGTGTCTCATCCAGGCTGCTGGGGCAGGTAGCATGCACAGCCTTAATCCCGGCACCCCTAATCCTAGCAGTGTACCAGAAATCAATCACACACTCTGCAAAAGAAGCCCCACCTGTGTGAGGCTTGAGTGGGACATCTAGAGGCAGGAGTGGCAGGACCCAGCGCTGCACTTATAACCCTGAGGAGCAGGAGGTCAGATCAGGGAAACTGAAGCCGGAGCGTGTGGCTGTGTCTGTACCCTTGGTAGTGGGGTGACCCGGGGCCCACCTCAGCCAGAAGCCCCCCAACCACTCACCTCCCAAGTACTCTGGGTGGGGCTGCCATCCGGAAGGAGCAGCTTCTTGGATAGTTTCTGGCTTCTTGGGAAAGGATGGGGTGTTGCTGCCATGGGCTGGGTCCAGCGGGGTCTGAAGGGATCCCATCTCATCTGCCTGGGCCCACAAGGCCTCTGAGCGCAGGTCAAAGTGACCCCACCCCATCCCACCAGCTTCCCTGCATTCCGGGCCCCTCCCCGAGCCTCACTTTCACATCCTGATTTCAGCGTGACTTCAGGGCCTTTGGGGGTTGTGAGTGGGGGGCAGATGCGCACCCCTTTGTCCCTGACAGTGACCTTTGTAACTTTTAGTGGCCCCTGCCTGGAGGGGGTGAGGATCGTGCAGCAGCAAGTAAGGGAGGTGCAGGGTCAGGCGGGTGAGGGCAGGGGTGGCGGTGCCAGGCCAGACAGCATGGCCCAGGCAGCTGCCCTACGAGGGGAGCCCCACCTCAGTCAGCCTCCCGCCCTTAGGAGTTCCCTTGGGTGGCCACAGCTGTGCTGCTCAGCTCCTTCTCATTTATTTTTGGGAATGATCTCCACTCCCTGAACATGGCACCTGGGCTTGTCCATAGCCGTTGGCCTGGAGGGCGACCGTCCATGCCCCCATGCTGGCCCTACTGCCTTGCCCGTCTCACCACCACCACTGGGACCCCAGGCCACCCCAGGAGGGGACAGTGGCCCTGTGGGACGTCCGGGCCAGCACAGGACAAAGGCGGCCCACACCTCTGTGACAGGAGGCGGGGTGTCCCCAGCTGGGGTAAAGAGTGCAAGGGGTGGGGGAGGGAATGGCAGGCCCTTGAGGGGGCGTGGGTGTCACACAAAGCGGGCCCTGTGTGTCCCCTGAATGCTGGGCTTTATCCTGGGGCCAAGTAGACAGACCTGCACCCAGCAGAATTAGGCCAGACTGCCCAAGTCCTGAGCAGGACAGAGACAGGAGGTGTGGCCGCAGGGACCTGGTCCCATGCACCTATACCCAGCCATGCTCTGCTCTGCTCTGCCCTCCTGCTGCATGCCTGAGGATATCCCCAGGCAGCTGGTGGACCCCCAGCTTCTCAGGGCTTGGACCCACCTCCCCGAAGCCCCTGACTCCTCCTCCCACCTCTGGCCCTCCAGGGTGGGAAGAGGACACGTCCAGTCAGGCCAGGAGCGGGAGCCAGAGCATCTGTAGGGATGCATTCTGCAGCCGAACAGGTGACAGCCACGGGGAGGAGCCTCATCCTCAGAGTGGATGTCGGGGTGTGCCCCGGGCTACCCTGCCCTGGTCTATATGGTGGTGACACCTGGCCACTGCATAGTCAGGAGTATCCTTTGTTCCCTCACTTGCAGCCAGTTGTGACTCCAGAAGTGTCCCAGGCAGTCACATCTGCCCTGGCTGCTGGTGCAAAGAGTGGCATGCCCAGCCTCCTGCAGAGGGGCTGCAAGCTGGGGGAAGGGGGCAGTGAACAAAGCCCCTCGAACACAGAGCGGAGTGCCAGCTCTGACCAGCTGTCCTCCTGCCGGGGCCTTGGGGAGCGCTCAGCTCTGGCCTGAAGGCGGGGCCCCCTAGGGTTTGGAATGTGGGTTTCCACTCCCTCCTCCCTAGCTCCTGGTCCACAGGGGTAGGACAACAGCCCTGCAGTGGTCCTGCGGCCCCAGGTGTCCTTGGCTCATGGCGTGTCAGAAGGCACTGTCCTGCATGCCCCTCTTCTGCACTGTCGCCTCCAGGGCACTTTGCGTCTTGCCCATTGCTGGGGGCACAGCTGCCACCACCTGGGGCAGCTGCCGAGACACGGCCCACTGAGCCAGCAGAAGCATCTGGTTCAGGCATGATCGAAATAACCTTCCTCTTCCAGTGCTTGAGAGTGCTTCCACCTTCTAGGGGAAAAGGGTGCCCCTCAAAACAAATCCTTTAAAAAACCGAGAATTGCAACAGCTGTAGCCACCAGGCCTCTCCACCAAGAGGGGTCCTTGCAGCCCCATCCTGCTGAGAGTGTGCTTAGTAGCTGCTAAGTGTGTGCATTGTGTGTGTATGCCTGTGCTGTGTGTGTTTTGTGTGTGCGTGTGTATACGGTGTGTGATAGGATTGGGAGTGTTGATTTGGGGGCATGTATAAGAATGTTGGGGTGTGTGTTGGAGGACACAGAATTAGAGTGCTGTTTGGGGGTGTGTAGGAGCGTTGGCATGTGTAGTTGGGATGTGTAGGAGTTGCAGAGTGTGCAGGGGGTGGCATGGTAGGTGTGCGCAGACACACGTACCACTTAGCTTCACTCCACCCCCCGTGCTCCCTCCACACTTGAGTCACCCTGCTGGCAGCTCCTACTCAGGTCCCCCAGGGGTCAGGTCTGCGTGTCCCCCGTGCTCCTGGGGGTCAGGGCTGCATGTACCCCATAATCCTGGGAACTCAGATCCTAATGTCCCTTGTACTCCTGGGGTCCGAGTCTGAGCCCCACCCCAAGTGGACAGCCCATCTCAGGGTAGCGGTGTTCAGGGTCCCCCGCGGCTGAAACCCTCGAGCAGGTGGGGTCCGAGCCGCAGGCCTCACATTGCTCTGTGCCTGCAGCGGAGCTGGAGTTCGTGCAGATCCTCGTCATCGTGGTGGTGATGATGGTGATGGTGGTGGTGATCACGTGCCTGCTGAGCCACTACAAGCTGTCCGCGCGCTCCTTCATCAGCCGGCACAGCCAGGGCCGCAGGAGGGATGGCGGCCTCTCCTCGGTAAGTGTCTGCAGCCGCGTCCTGGGCCTTGTGCAGCACGCAGCACCCTGGTAGAGTGGGGGTGCTTCCAGATACTCTGACCAGGAAGATGAGAGCCGCCGAGAGCCCCACCTGGTGTGGCTTCCTCCTGTCCTGCAGTGGCAGCACCCACAGTGACCTCCCCGCGACATGGGAGAGCTGGGTCTCGGCAAGGGTTTGCAGTATGAGGAGGGGTTCCCCCTCAGTGGCTCTGGGCCTGGGGGTGGTCAGGGGAGCCTGGAGGCCCCACAGCCTGCGCTCAGAGCTGGGCCAGGAGCAGGGCAGGTTGAGGTCTATCTTCACCTGGGCTTCGGGCCGAGCGGGACAGGAGGGAGGAGGCCAGGGGCGGCTGCACTGAGGTAAGTGGGTCAGATGGCGGTGTGCTAGTCAGAGCCCAGCGGGACAGCCAGGAGGGACATGCAGCTGGCATCTGGCTCTGCCCAGAATGACGGGCGGAGGAGAAGGTTCCACCCTTGTGCCAGTACCCTGCCGACATGTGCCCTGTGGTCATTCATGGCTGTCTCTGAGGGCACCAGGCCTCTGCCCAGCAGTGTGCGCTTGGCAAGGTCCCCATGTGCATGACGGGCTGGCAGTGGTGTGCACTGCCCAGAGGACCCAGGGTCCATCAGCACAGGATGAAGACTGGGTCCTTGCTCCTGGAAAGTCCCCTGTCCACTCCTCCCACTGCTCCACGCGGCCAGGCACAGGCAGAGGACATCTCTGTGGAGAGGTGCAGCCGACCGAAAGCCCTGGGCCGAGCTGTCCTGAGGCCAGGCTCCTCAGTATAAAGATAAAGACATGATACAGGGTGCAGCAGGTGACAGGGATGTAGGGCACCACAGGCCCTTCATATCCTGGGGGTCTTCAGGCTTAGTTTTCTGAAAGAAAGCAGGGCGTGGTGCTCACACCTGCAATCCCAGCACGGGGTGGCTGAGGCAGGAGGGCTGCCACAAGTTCAAGGCCAGCCCGGGCTGTAGTGAGCTGGGGTCCAGTCCGAGCCATATACCCAGACTGTTGCAAACAGTACACAAACCATCTGAAGGAAGACCGTGAGTGCTCCGGGGTTAGCCCTTGTTAGTGTGTCCTGGGTGTGCACGAGCTGCTTCGCAGCACTCACCTGTGTGGGGAAGTCACTTAGAGGCTATTTAAAGGAGAGAAAAGGATGTAGGGGTCCCATGAACCCCTGCACCCTTTTCCATAAGGGGCTTGAGATCCGGAAGTTTGGGGTATCTCAGAAGCCAGGACCCACAGCCAAGGATCCTGAACCAGGAGAAATCCTTGCTGTCCAAACTGATCTGCATTTTGCTGTCAGAGCTGCAGGCTACCTACAGTGCCTAGAGGCCGCAGAAGCATTCCCCAGACTGCACGAAGTCAGCTCTAGGGGTTGAGGTCCCCAGCTCCCATTGGCATGCTCTGCCCTGCTGTGAGGTCCCCTCCTCCAGCTGGCGCGGGTGGCAGCGCTGTCCCCAAATGGCTCCACCCCGTGCCTGCCTGCCTGAGGAGCGAGAAGCGCCGGCTGTGCCGAGGCGGGGTGGGAGGCAGCTGTCTGCGGGACAGGCTGGGCGTGTCAGGGAGGAGGCGGGCAGCACATGCGTAGCCAAGCTGGTGCTGCTGGGCACACGATGGGCAATGCCAGGCAGGGCTCTCCAGGTCTGGGGATGCCTGGGGCTGGCAGCAGCACCAGGGCTCTGAGCACTGAGCCAAGTCGATGCTGGCCATGGCCGTAGCCAGCAGGGCTGTCGCTGGCAGGTTTGCACACCTCTGCTCACGTCAGGGCTGGCCTCAGTGCGTCACTACGTCGTCAGGGCGAGGGCATTTGCGGCAGCACCTCTCACAGCGACACCAGGCAACCCGACCTCGCCCCACGTGCGTCCAGAGGGCAGACTCCGCATCTGCTCTGGAGGAATCTGCCGCCTCTAAAGCCTGGGCTCTCCCGGCTGTTTGTTTGCTGTCGTCACCCCAGCAACAGGGATGCCATCTGCTTGCAAGCGTCCTGAGTGCCGCGCCTGCGTCTGCCGCTTGTAGGGCTCGCCCCACTTTACAGAAAGGAAACTCTCAGGGCCGGCGTGGCTGCCGAGGCCTTGTAGCTCACTCGTGGCTGTGGGAAGAGCCCGTGGCCCATTTTAGGGAGCATAAAGACAGTGAGACTTTAGGGAGCACAGACAAGCTGAGGGTGTGAGGTGACCTCCTTGCTGTCCCTGGACAGCCTCTGGAACTTGGCTACCACTGTAGGCAGGATTCTGGGCCTGGCTTCCAGACACCCAGCAATGAGAGAGCCCCCGCTCCCACTCCACAGCCTGCTCAGGGACGCCGGGCTGAGTACACACAGAGCCTGATGAGGCCCAGAGGAGGTGGTGGCGGTACCCCTGGGGCCCCCAGCCAGACAGTGTGTCTGAGGAGTCCCTGAGCTCTGTGACTTTCTGGAGAAATTCAGACACAGCTGCTGTCTGCCTGGGGCCAGCCTGCGTTTTGCCTCCCCATCCAAACTGGGCACCATCGCCCCTCTTCAGAGTGACCCCTGCCCCCTCCACACACACATCTGTGTAGCCAGCACTGCACCGCACCTCACCCACAGGCTGTTGCGCTGTGTGGAATGGGCCCCTGTTGGTAAGAGTGAGTCAGGCAGGACACAGGGTCACCCCACTTTGAGTGTCCCAGCTGTTAGTGGTTTCCCTCTCAGGGGACCTCCTCGTTGGTGGCTGTTTTGCCAAGTGTTTGTACCTATGGCCAGCGTGGCCAAGGCCTAGGACAGCAGGAGCCTTGATCCTTTGTCCTTGTTGTCCCTGAGTTGGTCAGCAAGGAGAAAAGCCAAGGGCTGCGTCCAGCTCTGTGGCTTCAGTGGCTGCAGGCCAGGGTCAGACCACATCCTGGCTTGCAGTGGATAGTGATCCCATGTCCTGGGGTCCTGCTGTTACTGGGGCTCTAAGGGGAAGGCTTAGCACCTCCCCAACCATGGGAGCTGAAGGCTCCTAAGAGGTCTTGGGTGCTCTGCTCAGCCAGTGGTGGCTCTGGGAGCCAGCAGAGCTTAGCAAACCTTGGTCTGGCCGGAGAGCCAGCAGACTGATTTTGTAAATAAAGTCTTACTGGCATACAGCCAGCCACATGTAGTCCTTCACAGGAGTTTATAGCTGCAGAGTTGACTGGGGTGACAGGCCAAAGTCTTGTCATGCTGGCCCTTTGTGGAAGTAACCGACCCTGGTCTAGACGGGACGGGGAACAGAGTTGGGATACACCCACCTTGCCGAGGCATTTATACAGTGGGGCCAGAACACGGCAAGTGTCAGGGAGAGGAGCTGGAGGCAGGAAGCAGGGGGAGAGGTAGGTGGGCAGGGAGGGCGGGATGGCTGGGAGCCTGTTGGGCTGCTGGGCTGCGGCGGGCGGTCAGCCTCAGCTGCAGGAAGGACGCTGCCTGCCCTCCTCTCACTCACCTGGGTGTGTCTTCTTGGCAAAGCAGCAGGGCTGGGGAGGTGCTGGTGGGACGATTCTAAGCCTGTGCCCCACTGCTCCGGATGTGGCTGGGCCTAGGCCCACCCAGCTGCTTATGGGCAGACTGAATACCACGCCGGACACCAGGCACGGGGAGGGCAGCCTGTTCTGCGACCATCGTGGCTGCAAAAGGTGAATGAGTCACAGGAACCTGCAGTCCCAGGCAGAGAAAAGCCCAGCTGGACCAAGGGGGCTTGGGGGTGCACACAGTAGGTGCTTCCCAGACCAGCCGCCTTGTTAAGGAAAGTTGCAGGGCTGGGCTTGTGGGTCTGCATGCCAGGCTGGCCTTGGGCCTGGAGCCATCCTGGGCCAGTGGGAAGGCAGAAGCCAGTGGCCGTGAACTTGTGGCCTGTGCTGCTGCCGCAGGCATGGAGCCCTTCCTGCAGGCAGGGAAGCTGCAGGTGCTGCTCTAGGGCATAATGGTACTGTTGGCGCTTTGTGATCAGTGGGTTTCAGAGTGCAGTTTGGACACTGGGTCTCTAAAAGGTTCTCCATTTCTGGTTTATGTCATGGGATGGGCCTGGGGTGGAGGGTGGTGGGAGAGGAGCCCCTTGGAGGGCCCTGGGAGAGAGGCCGCCAGGCCAGCCCCTTCCCCAGTCCACCCGCCCTCCGGAATTCGTGTCTCACCAGGCCTGCTGCTAGCTTGCCCAGAGTAAGTCCAAGAGACCTGTCTGGTCCGTGGTGGGTGCATGAGGGGCGTGGGCAGAGACCGAGCTGTCAGGAGTGACTCCTCGGGTCTGCTTGTGCCACTGGAAAGATGTCAGGTCCATTCAGCAGATCAGGGAACAAGGTTGAAGGAGTGAGACTGGTGACCTCTTACACACAAGCGCCCTCCTGCTGGGACAGTCTGAGGGACACGGCGCCCCCTTGTGGCCGTCTGGGAAACTGCCGCCTCTAGCCGACGCTATGTGAGAATCCATAACTATGTGAGAATCCTTTGGAAAACGTGTCCCCAGAAAAGCTGTTTGGGCAGTGGTGGTGGTCATTATTCTGATTGCAGGGTGATGGATACATGAGCCCACGCTGAGCGCTTTGTACTATGACTATGTCCATTTATCCTATTTCAGTTAGAGCTCAACCGACCTAAGGATTTAAGACCTTCCTGCCCCAGCCATCTGGGGAGCTCAAAGTCCCAAGGGAGCTGGCCACGACAAGGGCAGCCAGTCCGTGGGCCCTGGGTGGCTCCCCTCCCCCAGCTGTGAACTGTGTGATGGAGACAGTGGCATCATTTCTTTCTTTTTTTTCTTAAGAGAATAAAAAAAAAATTTTTTTTAAACCATTAGGAACTGCGCAGAATTTCCCTAAACAAAATAATAGGAATTCAGCAATGGTTTTTATATTGCTGTCTTCAAATTAGTTGTTCAGATTACCAGATATAAGCATGCAAAATTGGAAAAATAAAAAAAAAGTTATAAAGGATTAAAAAGGAGAGGAAAGAAAAATTTTAAGCATTAACTGCTCCTTTCCATAGACCAGAAGAAATCAGCAGTACAGTCATCCAGGCTATCCTGTATATACATAAATATATTTCAGCAACTCCACAAGGCAAGTGCAGAAATGGTGACATCAGACTTACAGAGCTCATCCCCGGTCCCTCAGCAAGCCCATGGGGAGGGCAGGGTCACACTGCACTTTGTAGGAGACACTTGGGCCCAGGAGAAGCCCCTGGGGGCTTATGGGGGGGCCAACAAACCCACAAGCTTGAGGACGGGGTCAGTGCAGAGCCCACGCTGTCCTGGCCTCCAGGGGTAGCCAGGAGAAAAGCCTCAGGTTGAGGTGGGGTCTGGGGGAACCCTCTGCCTTCCCTCCTCTGCTCACCCTCCTAACCTGACTGTCACTCTGCACCCCTGCAGGAAGGATGCCTGTGGCCCTCAGAGAGCACTGTGTCTGCCGGAGGAATCCCCGAGGTGAGCCCCCCTGTGCTCTGTCACCCCTGCCCCGCCTGCCCCTCCCAGCACTGCAGGAACAGGGCTGGCTTCCCACAGCCACCTCCCTGCACATGCTTTGTGAATCAGGGCCATGTGCCCCTGGCCCCAAAGGAAGACCCACTGTGTCCATGTGGGACACACAGGCTCCCCATTCCCAGGAGGCTGGCACAGCTCCAGGTTCCTTCTCCCACTGTCCTGTGGCTCAGCTGTCCCTGGGTGTCCTCCCCGCCCCTGGGCTCACTCTGAGACCACCGCTGCCTCACTAGGTCTGCTCCTTCAGCCGCAGGTCTACGCACCGCCTCGGCCCTCCGACCGCCTGGCTGTGCCACCCTTTGCCCCCCGGGACCGTTTCCACCGCTTCCAGCCCACCTACCCCTACCTGCAGCATGAGATCGACCTGCCACCCACCATCTCCCTGTCCGATGGAGAGGAGCCCCCGCCCTACCAGGGCCCCTGCACCCTCCAGCTGCGGGACCCTGAACAGCAGCTGGAGCTGAACCGAGAATCGGTGCGCGCGCCCCCCAACAGAACCATCTTCGACAGTGACCTGATGGACAGCGCCATGCTGGGCGGCCCCTGTCCCCCCAGCAGTAACTCGGGCATCAGTGCCACATGCTACGGCAGCGGTGGGCGCATGGAGGGGCCACCCCCCACCTACAGCGAGGTCATCGGTCACTACCCTGGGTCTTCCTTCCAGCACCAGCAAAGCCACGGGCCACCCTCCCTGCTGGAGGGGACCCGGATCCAGCACCCACACATCACCCCCCTGGAGAGCAAGGAGAAGGAGAAGCAGAAAGGACACCCCCTCTAGGAGCCCAGGGGCGGGCCAGGCCGCTGTGGGCAGAAAGGCAGACACTCCGCACTTCCTAGAAGAGAAGAGGGAGGAGAACAGGGCGACACACGGGACATGCAGCGTGTGACACCCCACCTCTCTGTGTATAAATAGCTACATGTTATGTCTGGTTTGAATGCACAAGCGCAGAAAGCTTGCAAAAAACAAAACAAAACAAAACAAAAAAAAAATCCACGTTTCTTTGTTGAGCCGTGTCTTGGAGGCAAAAGAAAAAAAAAATTCTGCAGTAGTCTTTTTTGTTTCTAGTTGAGCTGCGTGCGTGAATGCTTAATTTTCTTGTTTTTGATGATTTCACTTAACTTTAAAGACATATTTGCACAAAACCTTTGTTTAAAGATCTGCAATATTATATATATAAAAATATATATAAAATGAGAGAACTATGTGTGAGGGCAGGAGTATTTTTGTATTAGAAGAGGCTTATTAAAAAAAAAAGTTGTTTTCTGAACTAGAAGAGGGAAAAAATGGCAATTTTTGAGTGCCAATTGAGAAAGTGTGTATTACCTTGTAAAGAGACAAATTACAAAGCAGGGGTTTAGAGTTATTTATATAAATGTTGAGATTTTGCACTATTTTTTAATATAAATATGTCAGTGCTTGTTTGATGGAAACTTCTATCGTGTCTGTTGAGAGTTGGAGGGAGAAAGGTGGGAGTTTCAGAGTCAGGTCAGGCCCACAGCCCCGCGTCCCGTCCCGGACGCCTCTGTCTAGCGGCAGCTGGGGGCTGGGGGCGGCACTCTCCCCGGCCCTGCCCAAGTGGGGGATGGGGCGTGTTTTCCCTCTGGGCCAGCCTAGCCTCTGGGATGCGAGCAATCTGAAACTACCCCAGAGGCACCAGGGTCCAGGTGGTGGGTTTTGCCTTTCCCAAAATGAAAATAAACTGTTACTGAAGGAATCCTAGTTTTTCTTCCTCTGTTCTAAGCTGCGAAGGTCCCAGTGGGAAGGGACGAGGTGCCCTGGCAAGCTTTAGCCGGCCCTGCGCTTGGCCCCGGGGCAGGCCGGCGAGGGGCAGCTGTGGGAGCTGTGCGGGTGACCGAACAGGCTGCAGAGCACATGCCGGCTGGGGCTGCACCCTGGCACCTAGGAAGGGCCCAAAGAATTAGCGACTTGACCTCATCCGGTGGCCTGTTATGTCTCGATTTTCACAATAAGCCGATGACCCAAGGTAAAAAGATGACAAGCCCAGGTTTCTCCCAGGACATGTGAAAGTATTCAATCAGAAAAGAAAAAGATACAAAAGTCAAACCAGCGTACACACCCGGGCGCCAGGTTTTAGCGGAAATCCTTCCTTTCTGCCTCGGGTCCTCCCTGGCGTCCTGGACGCAGCTGTCTGTGGTGTGTGTGTCCGTGGTTCCACGGGCACCTCGTGTGCCAGGGTTTTGCTGAGTGAGTCAGGGATGGCTGCACCCCGTGGCGGTGGCAAGTTGGTGGCCAAGCAGAGATGGGCACAGGTAAACAGATGGCAGGGGAGAGGGCCAGACGGGTCCCTTGGGATGGACGGGCAGGGACAGTGGCTGTAACTTGGGTCCCTCCCCGGGGAAGGCTTGGGAGTAGCCCACGGAGTGACCCTCACTCCACCAAAGGGTTAGGGAACAGCCTTTCTGAGAGGCCAGCGGAGTTCCTGGGCCACATGCTGAGACGTAGACTACCCGACATCAAAGAGGCAGTGATGAGCATAGGCAGCTTTTTTTATTATTACTTAAAAATACATCCTGAAAGTAGTGCTGAAATTCTGACCACGGGGCCTCAGTGTATCCACATCGAGTTCCCAGTGACCAGCAGGATGTTCCTTACACGTGACAAGAACAGAAGCTTGCTTCCCGTGGACTTTCAGCCTGAAGTCCGCTTCCCTCCTGAGAGATCTTTCCAGAAGTGCAGAGAAGTCGCAATAGCGTGTCCTGAAAGGTGCAGGGACGCAGAGACATTCCCAAGATGCTTTTCCTTTCGTCAGGTGTCCCTGTGTCTGACCAAGGAAACAATTGCTGTCTTGTCTCAGGGTAGGGATCCCCCAGCACCGCCTCACTAACCACGCCTGGCATGCCCTTTGGTTGTCCTAGAGGGTCACTGCTTTTGAACCATCCCTGTCACCCTCTTGCCACCCCCACCACACGCTCCCTGCCCAGTTAGGCCACCCCTCCTGTCCACATGTTTTTGGTCAAGGGCTCTGCATAACTCACTTGAGTTGAAAACCTAGAAAAAATGGACCTCATTTGCATGTGTGGTGTCGGCCACAAGCTAGGCTGAAGTGTCCTACTGCCGTTGAGCCAGGCCACTGGACTGCTGCTTGGTGGTGTGGTCTGTGTTTGCTACAGCTGGGGGCGCCCTCTCCAGCAGCCGACCCCTGCTCGCACCCAGTGTAGATGCCCAGGCTGCCAGGCTCATGCCCCACAGGGCCACAGGGGGCTGAGGAGGCAGGACACGTCCCCGGGACACTGTTAGGGCGTTTCCAACCTGAAAGCTGCCTCTGGAGCTGAGCTCCTCGCTTGTCCTCAGGACCTCCATCTCTCATGTAAGCTGAGGCATCCTTCTCCTCGAAGCATCTAGCAGGAAGTTAGATGCCGTCCTGGGGAGTGGCTGGTTGGAGGTTGGCTTGGGGTCTGCTGCTCTGTCCTGGGCTCAGAGAGGGGGATGGAACATGCCTCTCTCCACCCCCGCCCCTTTTTTCTTTACCCATCAACCCCACATTTCCTGCGGAGAAAAATCACTGCTTCTGTAAAGCCCAGATCTATAAGAACAGACTTCACAAACTGCATGAAGAGCAGGGCATCTTTTCCAAAGCCCAGCACTTCAGCAAAAAGCTAAACATGGCCCCTTTGAGCACATAGCATAAGGCAAAAACCAGACCTGCTTCCCCATCCTTGTTGGTCCTGTATCTGTGCACTATATTTTTTAGAATTTTTTTTCCAATGTGCATCACAGCTCCCAGAGCCATAAAAGCCCCCAGTGATGTGGAAAGAAAATGCGTTGGGTTTCTTGGGTTTCCTGGACACTAGCTTGGGGTGTCACTCTACTGTGGAGTTCCAAAGGCTGGCGCCACCTTCCCGGTCTGCTGCCTGACTCGCGGCTGTCTGTCTGTCATGCTGCCTGCACTGCCTGCATGTTGCTTCTGGGGCACTAGGACACTCCCTCTCTCCTGCAGCGCTGTGTCCCAAGTTCTGTTTGAGTTAAATTTCTGTAAGTTCTCTACACTGCCCAGGCACAGCTCCCCGGTTGCAGCTGTGAAGACCCTGTCTCTGGATACCCTTCCACAGGCCTGGAAAAATTGCTTGTGTATCAGTAATCATTAGTGGCAATTATGACATTTTGAAAAGCTGCAATACTTATACAATAAATTTTACAAGTCTTTGGAACAAGGCTTTTGCCCTTCTTTGGCTGTATTGTGTGACTCCCTCCCACACTCCCACCCCTGCCACCCTCTACAACCACAGGATGCATTCAGGGGACAGGGCGAGGGCCCTCCGAGCTGCCACGTGGGTTAGTTCTGGCAGAATTCAGGGACCTCAGTGGAAACAGTTCCAGCACAAGGGGTGGCCAGTGGGTAAAAGTTTGTGAAACACTGAATATTTCTCTTCTCTCTTGAAATCACCAAGTACCACAACATCAGGTAAGCTCTAGAAAGGCCTACAAGAAAGAAACTGGCTTAGGTAGAGTGCTTCTGGAAGCCCTGATACGTGGAACATGTGGACTAAGGCTGTTGCCTTCCCTGGGAGGGAGGACAGAGGCAGCAGGAGTTGGGCAACAGAAGCTCAAGGCAAAGTCCCGACGTCAACAGAGTCAGTGGGGAGTGGTAGAGCAAGCAGCCCTGGGGGAGGGGACAGCCAGGTGGGCCTCATGGCCCTCGGTGCACAGGAGTGGCGTGGAGTGCCAGCAGCCCTAGCATGGACCTTCCAGTTGTCCTTAGCAGGGCCACACATGGAGGAGGGGGCAGTGCAAGTCACCCAAAGTGTCCCAAGAGAGCCTGAGTGGGGCCCCACGGTGCCTACCCTGGAACTGTCTAACTCATTTCTCTAAGTAGGACCACTTTTACTTCTTAACAAGGCTCTGAAAACCTCGGCTAGTACAGAGACTGAAGCGGGGGATGACCCCTGTTCAGCCTCAGCCCCAGAGCTTTCTAAGCCTTTGAACCGCAGCCCACCAGAGAGATGCCACGGGGCTGTGAGACACATCGGTGGGAGTCAACAGCAAGTTGGGTCAGGGCAGAGCACGGCACGCATCTGCCTGTCCTGTTCCCTCTTCTGGTGGAAGCAAACCTCAGATTGTAGGGAAATGGGGAGAAGCCCAGATTGTTCCTCAGAGACAGCGCCCCTCACAGACCCATGGGCCCTGTCTGGGGACAGGCATTGATGGCAGTGCCTAGGAGATGCTTGTTTCTGGTGTCATAATGCCCACAAGCCCCCACACAGTGCCTGGTGCACACAGACATCAGCCACTCTCACTAGCAACTAGGGCTTCCAGTGGTTTCCTTATAGCCAGATGCCCCCTGAACCCTCTGGACCAGCTTGCAGTGCCTGAGCTCACCCACAGCAAGATAGCCTCATGCAGGTGACGAGGACAGAGCAGGGTGCCTTTCTCCACTGGAGAGCAGCCCCGGGATGCAATCAAGAGGGGCCCCCACCACTGGGTACAGCTCCAGCAGACAGCTGTCCCTGCTCTGGAATGGTGACAACATCGGGACAGCTGACGCTCCCAGAGCACCTTCTAGGTTCTTCCTGGAGTTGGCAGCTCCTCCTTGGGGAGGTCTCCTCTTTCACTTGCCGGGTATTTTTTGAGCATGGCTGGGTGCCAAGCACAGCTGGGTGCTGGAGATGCCAGTAGCCTGCCCCACCCCTGACCTTGGAGAGCTCCATGCTGGTTTTAGAGATGACTTGATAACTGGTACTTTTGCCCAGTAGATACGCTGAGGGCAGGAAAGCCTGCTGCTGAGAGCTGGGAAGGCGCACAGGGGATGAACCGACAGGTTAGGGGCACAGATACTCCTTGACTTATGCTAAGATGCCACAAGCACAAAATGTAGTTAATATGCAGAGCCTCCTAGCTTAGTCAGCCTGGCTTCCCCCTTAGCCTTAGTTCGGCACATCACCTAACACCAAACCTGTTTTACAATGATGTGCTGAACATCTGGACCATCTGGAGGAGGGGCTGGCAACTGCCTGAGGTGGAGGA